CTATAAAGTCAGTTTGAACTGCAAGGTTGGTGGTTCAAGCTCACCAGCTGCTCCTTGGAAACCCTAGACAGGGTCACTATGAGTTGGAACTGACTTGACAGCACTTAACAACAACACAATATATATATATGGTGTGGTGCTGTAGGATCAGCACTGGACTGCGAACCACTGGTTTAAACCGACCTTGAGGCCAAGTGATTATCCTATGGCACCACACTAGTACTCACTCTATCTATCTATAGAGGTATATATGTATACATCTATACATAGATAGAGACAGAGACAGAGAAAGCTTATTAACCCGAAAAACCAACGGTATAGTCACTGAGTTTATTCCAAATCATAGCAACCCTATAGAGTAGAACTGCTCCTTTGGGTTTCAGAGACAATTTTTACAGGATTGACAACTTCGCCTTTTTCTCATGGAGTGACTGGTGGGTTTGAATGGTCGACCTTGTGGTCAGCAGCTCAACTCTTAACCCACTATACCTCCAGGGCTCTGGGGTATCAGCACATGACAAGTGCTCAGTGCATGCACTCAGTGCAGTTGTTCCTAGGATTCCAGCATTGGAAAAGCTGGGCTTGGGAGTAGGGTGGGGTAGGGATGACTCCTGCTGTGGCCCTTGTCTCCAGCTCACTGCCCAGGATGGAGTCATCTTTGAGCAAGATGGTCTTGTGCATAGACTCCTCATCACCCATGTGCAGGGGGCCCAGGCCGGGAGGTACACCTTTGTAGCCGGCAACCAGCAGAGCGAGGCCACCCTAACCATCCTGGGTGAGGCCTGTCCCTGCCCACCATCTGTGTGTACCACTTCTAACCACCTGGATTTGTTGCTAGTCTACAACCAGTGTCTAATCTCATCCTCAGTCTGTGTATTTAAAAAGTCACCCTGCGTTCTCCCTGTTCCAGCCTCTAATTGCCTTTCTTGTTAGGAAATCTATGGTGAAGTCTAACTCTGGTCCCACCTGCTGCAGCTGAAACCCATTCCCCTTGTTCATCCCCAAGAAGTGGGGTCAGGGTTTCCCTACAGTTTTTCTAAGCTCCCTTCTTTCCCCCTGCCCAAGGTGCCCCAGTGCCCTGTTCTTTGACTGACTTACCCTGTTTAATCTCTAGACACCCCTACCATCGCCCCAAACATGACAGAGAAGCTGAGAGAGCCACTGGTGGTCAAGGCTGGGAAGCCGGTGACAATGAAGATTCCCTTTGAGAGCAACCTCCCGGTTCAAGCTGCCTGGAGGAAGGACGGGGCTGAGGTGCTAGGCAGCAGTAGCAGAGGCGCCCAGGTGTCCCTGGGGGATGGCTTCACTCGTCTGTGCCTCCCCAGTGCCAGCAGGAAGGACCGTGGCCAGTACAGCGTGACACTGAGGAGCAAGGGGGGCTCTGTGCAGGCTGAGTTCACCCTGAAAGTCATAGGTGCCAATGCCAGTCTCCTCCCCAGCCTGAGGGCCCCCAGGAACCCTCCCTGTCACAGGCACAGGCCCCAGCATGGTTTCTGTCTCAGCTTCTCTTTTGGATGCTGCTTAAGATGCAATCCTGTCTACTCGCTCCTCTCCTCAGACTGGTTCGGATGAAACAGTTTAGATACCTAAAGGGCTGGAACCACTCCTGGGAGGGGGAACTGGCTGCATTTATCTGAGCTTGAATATGCTGAGGCCTAGGGGAGGAGCTGGGGTGGGTGGTGGCCCTCAATCTTTAGTGGTGCAAGGTAGAACCACCAGGTCCGGAGGGCTGGGCAGGTGTCCATACCAGTCACTGAATGGTGGGACTGGACTTGGGGTTGTATCCATGCCACAGCCCTAGGTATATATGAGACGAGGGGGCTTTGAAAACTTTGTGGAAACCTTTAAAAGTCCCCTTGTTTGTGTAGGTGTTGGGGGTGGAGAGCAGAGGCACCTCACTGTTTCAGTGGAACTTCGGGTCATGCCCAAGGCCTTTTGAGCAGTTTGTCCCATAGCAGCTCATCCCCTGATTGGAGGGTGGGGAAGAAAGGGAAGACCAGCATGCTTCCTTTCCATCCCCTCTGATGCCCCCTTCTCTTCCTGCTCCTCTCCTGGGTCCCAGACAAGCCCCAGCCCCCACAGGGCCCCTTGGAGGTGCAGGATGGCCATGGGGCTGGTGTCTGCCTCCACTGGCGGCCCCCTAGGGACGATGGGGGCCGTGCCGTGCAGCACTACATCGTAGAGAGAAGGCAGTCTGGCAGGAGCACTTGGCTGAAGGTGGGCGAATCCCCTGCAAACAGCACCACCTTCACCGATGCCCACGTGGAACAGGGCAAGAAGTATACCTTCCGCGTGCAAGCTGTGAACTCTGAGGGGGCTGGGGAGGCCCTGCAGTCTGAGGAGATGCTGGTGGCTCCTAACGGTGAGAGGATAGGCTGGGATTGGGGTGGGCAGCACTCATGGACTCCCCACTATGCCTGAGGACTGGCAGGTCTGTCCCAGAGGCTAAGGGACACCTTGAGGCCCTTGTAGAGCAATGTGGAGGTTCCTTACCTGAGCTTCATTTAGGATCTGGAAGCCATATCAGGAAGCAAGACTTATGGGGTTCTCTTCCAGCTATGGAAATCTCTGGGTGGTACAAATTGTACCCCAAGTACTCCAAGCCCCCTATACCAAATAAGAATAACCAAAAATGTCAATCTGCTGCTAACTGAAAGGTTGGTGATTCAAATTCACTCAAAGGTTCCTTGGGAGAAAGGCCTGGTGATCTACTTCCAAAAAATGAGCCATTAAAAACCCTATAGAGAAGAGCTCTACTCTGTCTCATATAGGGCCACCAGGAGTTGGAATCAGGTGGTTAGCACCTGGTTTTCTTCCAGTTGTGGCCTTCAGGGTGGGCAATGGGTACGCAGAGCCTACTTCCTCAGGACCCTGGGCAGGGACTAGCATCCTACCCCCTCAGATGCCCCCAGCCTGGAGACTCTGGGACCCAAAGAGGTGACTCTAGACTTCAAGGCCACAGTGCCTTTTCTGTCCTGCCATTCCTGATCCTCAACTCTGGATATTTCTGCCCTCAGATGCCCTACCTCCTCATGAGCTCACATCTTGCCTTGTCTCTGGAATAACTAGTCCCTCTCTGTCCCAGCTCTCCCTGGCCGTCCTTCTACTCCAGACATCCTGTCAGCCTCCAGCCAGGGCATCACACTGACATGGACGATGCCTCGGGGCCCTGGGAGTGCCCACATCCTAGGCTACCTTATTGAGAAGCGCAAGAAGGGAAGCAACACCTGGACAGCAGTGAATGACCAGCCTGTGCGTGGTGAGTGGCTTGAATGGCCTCGTTCCATTCCATCTGCCTCCACAGGGTCATTAGCACCCCTCCTGATTTGGGGTCCTTTGGCTTATTGTGCCAGATTGGTTTAATGCAGTGGTCCTTACCCAGGGGTGGGTTTGCCCCCAGAGGATATTTGTCAATGTGTAGAAATGTTTTTGGTTGTCACAAATAGGGGTGTAGTGGGTGTGCTATTGGCATCTGGTGGAAAGAAGCCAGGGATATGTCGAAACCACCTACAATACACAGGACAGTACCCCAAATCCCCACTCCACCAGAAATCAGAATAACCAAAAATGTCAATAATGCAAGGGCATAGCAGATGTTTAATGGAAAAAATTCCAAGTGGAAGCCAGAAGTGGATCTCTGAGTCCTGGCCTTAATCTTGGGCAGCTTGTGCCCCTCTCTAGATCTGTTTCCTTATCTGTGAATGGAAAGAAGTGTCCCGTCCTCCAACAAGTAGTTTCCTAAGAAACCCACTACTTTCTGCTTTCTGTCCTGGAACTTTGCTCTCTTTGGAGCTGCAGACTTGCTTTATGAAATCACAGACAAGCTGTGCAGGTACTGGTTTGCAGAGGGAAGGGGCTGAACTGGTTGTTAGAAGACACCTGGCTTCTGATCCTGTTTGTGCTAATCTCAGGAACTCAGTCTCCTCATCTCTGGAAGGAGGGAAGTAACTAAAGGCATACCAGGACGCTTCCAACTTCACTACTTTGTGATTCTATTTTATTTACATTGACAACCACCTTGGGAGGCAGAGAGACTCAGAAAGGTTATAGCACTTGCACAAGACAACCCAGCAAGTTAGTGGCAGAACTAGGCAGGGACTCAGGCTTCTGATACCTGGAAAAGTACTCTTTCTACCTTAGAGAGAACTGAGTCATATCTGGCTGACTGGATGGGGGGGAGGGGGAGCGATGTGCTAGGGCCCTGTTCTTGGTCCCCTCCAGGATATGGACATAGCAAGTTATGTGACTATCACCTGGTCCCATCAAGGTGGGACTCATGTAGGGTGGGCTGTTCACAGAGAGGAGGTGGACGGTGGTTGACATGCAGCAGGGCTGTCAATACGAGTTCCGGGTCACGGCCGTGGCTCCCTCAGGCCCTGGAGAGCCTGGTCCCCCATCGGATGCCGTCTTTGCTCGGGACCCCATGAGTAAGTGGAACACCATCCCAGGTTGGTTGGGTCGTGGTAAGCATGGGATCGCTTTGAAACCAGATGGGACAGGACAGGTGACTACAGGTTAGGGGCAGTCCCTAAAGACATGGTCAGAGTTCTGGGAGATAAGCCTCAAAAGGTCTCTAGGGCTAGACATATCTGAGGGGTCCAGGGAAGGTTGTTGATGGCTCCCATTGACCCTGACTTAGGACATTTCCAAATATTACAGAGTAGATCTTCCCATAGGATCTTCTTGGCTATAATCTTTATGGAAGCAGTTTGCTAGGCCTTTTCTTTCGTGAAGCTCCTGGTTTTGAACTACCAACCTTTTGGTTAGCAGCCACCCACCCAGGCTCTACAGCTGGAGTGCGGAACATCTGGTCTATGGGCCGTATAATGCCTGCGAGATCATTTGGTCTGGCCCTGCCAAGGCAATTGCAGCTCCAGCCATCACATTACAGCAAACTAATTTTTAAGTTGATAATTTTGCATGGCCCATGAATGTGAGTCATGCTATACATTTTGAGAGAAAAAAGGTTCCCCACCCCTGCTCTACAAGAAGACCTTCCAAACCCATTGCTGTCAATTCCAACTTATAGCGACCCTGTAGGACAGAGGAGAACATCCCACAAGATTTCCAAGGCTGCAGTTTTTACGGAAACAGATTGCTACATCTTACTCCTTGGAGTGGCTAGTGGGTTTGAATTGCTGACCTCTTAGTTATAGCTAAGCACTTAACCACTGTGCCACCAGGACTCCTCAGGGATGTGTGGTGGTAGTCATGTGCTGCCAAGTCAGTTCCAACTTATAGCAACGCCGTATAGAGTTACCAAGGAGCAGTTGGTGGGTTTGAATGTTGGCCTTATGGTTGGTTCACATCCAGTGCTGATCCTACAGCGCCACACCAGGGATAATTGAGACCAAACAGGCCTATAGGGAGGCAGTGCAAATAAAAAGATCTCCTTCCCAAGATCATGTCATTTCCTCTTTGGCACCTGGGCAGGTCAGTACCCAAGCTGGTCCACTATCTCTCTCTTACAATCACCCCCTCACCTCAGAGCAGTGTTCCTGGGGGCCACAAGAAATCTCAGTCATCAATTCTTTACCCTACAAACATTGCTCATCATCTACTAGATTCTCAGCAGCATGCTAGGTGGGTAAATCTGATTTCTGCCATCGAGAAATTTAAGGCCCAGACAGCATTTCCCTAGCTGTGGTCTTGGGAACATACATGTACTAAGAGATGCCAATAGACATTCTGAGAACAACAACAAATAAGATCTGTGAACAAAGATGTCTGTAACGTACAGCCTATGATATGCCCAAATCCTGCCATAAAGAAATACGTCTAACTTTGTTCAATCCAAATTTCCCAAACGTGATTTTTTAAGAAAACAAAATACCTATTAATAACTATGTTCTAGCACTCTAAGCACACAAATTGGAAAATACTGCTCTAGAAACCTCTGTCCCTTATGATCCTTCCAGTCACTGAGAGGGCAACTTGATCCTGCCACCTGCTGGACTAGCCAGTTGCTGAAGACCTGGAAAGCATCTTTGTACAACTCAAGACCTAACACAGTGTGTGTGTTCAGGTGGATGAACCCAACAAGAATAGAATGGAGGGGTGGGGAAGGAAGGCTGATCTGGGTGGGCATCTTCTTCCTTGCAATTGGACCAAACCCCTACTTTATTGTTGATCTCTGTTTCATTGGTGATGGGAATGGAGAGACAGGTGGGATAATCAGTACCTGATAGTAGCCAGAGGTCCCTTGGAAGAGAGGCTTGGCAATCTGCTTCCAAAAAGTCACAAACTTGAAAACCCTATGGAGACCAGGTCTACTCTGCACGGGATTGCCATGAGTTGAAGTTAACTAACAAGTAGCTAATAAGTACACTTCCCATAGGCCTTTGCTACTGAGGGCCCAGAGCATCACCTGGGAGTTTGTTGTAAATACAGACTCTCCAGCTCTTCCCCCAACTGTCTTGAATCAGAATCTGTTTCTAACAAAATCCCTAGGTGATCTTTCAGAATTGTGGGACATAGTACTTACCCACTACATTTCCTACCTCTGGGGCTCAGTGGAACATGTTACCTCACTTTTAACATAACACCATTTGGTGGGGGTCTGATGACAGTGTGAATCTGAAGAAATGGATGTCATCCCACCCAGCCCCAGCACCAGAGACCCCTCTGATGACATGTTTCATTAATAGTATCAAAATTACGTAAATGTTTTTCATTCAAAATGCCTTTCTTTACTGAAAATACATGGTTTCAACAACAAAAATCAAAGCAGAAAATAATTTGGTGTTGGAAGTGTTTAAGTTTGAGAAGTGTTGTTGTTGTTAGGTGCCATCCAGTCAGTACTGACTCATAGTGACCTTATGCACAACAGAATGAAAACACTGCCCAGTCCTGGGCTAATCTCACAATATTTGCTACGCTTGAGCCCAATTGATGCTGCTACTTTGCTAAACCATCTCACTGGGAGTCTTCCTCTTTTTCTCTGACTGATCCTCTCTATCTTACCAAACATGATATCCCTCTCCAGTGACTGGTCCCTTCTGACAATACTTCCTAAGTATGAGAAATGAAGTCTAGCTTCTAAGGAGCACTCTGGATGCACTTCTTCCAACACACATCTATTTGTTCTTTTGGCAGCCCATGGTACTTTCAATATTCTTCTCCAACACCATAACTCAAAAGCATCAGTTCTTCTACGGTCTTCCTTATTCACTGTCCAGCTTTTGCATGCATATGAGGTTACTGAAAATACCATAGCTTGTGTCAGGCATACCTTAGTCCTCAAGCTGACATCTTTGCTCTTCAAAGTTTGAGAAGTACTGTCCTAGAAACTTAGCTGCATTTTCAGAAACACTTAGGGTGCTCTTAAAAAATCCTGATATCTATAACATGGCCCGGGATTCCTGGTGTGGCGCTGTAAGATCAGCACTGGATCATGAACCTCAAGCTGCTCTTTGGAAACCCTCTACGGGGTTGTTATGAGTCAGAACTGACTCGACGGCACTTAAAAACAACATATTATAATCCACAAAGACAATGCTCTACATTCTACTTTGGTGAGTAGTGAATGGGGCCTTAAAAATTCATGAATTACTATCTCTCCTTGTCCAGAGGAAAGAGGAGTGATGAAAATTAAAAACTCTTGGAAATAATTAATCCAGTGGACTAATGGACAGGAGTCTGAACAACCCTGAGACTAGAAGAACTAGATGGTGCCTAGCTCTTTAGAAGGTCCTGAGCAAAGCTATGAATCGGCACTGACTGGATGACACCTAACAACAACACTTCTCAAACTTAAACACTTCCAACACCAAATTACTTTCTGCTTTGATTTTTGTTGTTGAAACCATGTATTTTCAGTAATGGAAGGCATTTTGAATGAAAAACATTTAGGTAACTTTGATACAATTAATGGAACATATAATCAGAGGGATCTCAACATCATAAAAAAGACCAGATTTACTGGTCAGATAGAGACTGGAGGAGCCCTGAGATTATGGGTCTTCATCACCCTTTAGGTTTGGAACTAAACTCATCCTTGTGGCTCACTTTCAACCAAATTATATCTAGGTATACAGGGGTCGGGGAGGTGGCACTGTAGGCTAATGCATCAGACTGCAAAGCTATTTGAACTGCAAGGTCGGTGGTTCAAGCTCACCAGCTGCTCCTTGGAAACCCTATACAGCGTCGCTATGGGTCGGAATTGACTCGACGGCACTTAACAACAATAACAGGGGTAGGGGGACAACACACACCATAGAATGGTCAACCATTCACAATTTTATAAAAGGCAGCACTTACCTAAAGACAAAATCCAGAAGGGTTTGGAAAGAAGGATAAATGAAAACAAGCACCAGGGAGGAAATGGTATAAATGATGTTACAATGAGGGGACTACAATCATTGAGATGAAACAAAGTGTATGATTGGTTGGATGGTGATCTGCTCTGTAAAGCCTCAGTCAATTCACAATTTTTTTTAAGTCTGATGCCTAGACTATAACCCTAGAACAATTAAATTAGAATCTCCAGGGCAAGATCTAGACACCACCATTTAAAAAATCTTTCTAGGTGATTCCAAAGCACAACTAAGTTTGAGGAATAGAGTCCTTACAAAGCCTTAAGCACACATCATGCATTTTGCTTGTTCCAGACCCCTGTGAGGAGGTAGGACTTTTGTTAGTACAGTTCCCATTTAAAAAGTGAAAAATAAGAAATCTGGACCAAGTCTCCCAAAAGGGGTCTTACATGGAAACTTAGAGTTCAGAATAAAAGAATATACAAGGGGGCTTCAAAGAGTTCATGGAAAAATTACAATATCTTTTCATTCCATTTTTCCACAACTTCTTTAAATTCCTCTCATAGAATTCTAATCTGCCAGCATCTTGGAGTCTAAAACATCATCACCAACAGTACCAATTTTGAATTCATTAGGAAAAGGTTGATAGGAGAAATAGAGTCCCTGAGTGGCACAAATGTCTACGTGTTCAACTACTAGGTAAAGATTGGCAGTTTGAACACACCCACTTTGGAAAAAAGACCTGACTATCAGTTTGAAACTACCAGGTATTCTGTGGGAGAAAGATGAGGCTTTCTGCTCCCATAAAGATGTACAGCCTTGGAAACCCTGTATAGAGTTTCTATGAGTCGGAACCGACTTCACAGTATTTAACAACAACAACAACTGCTTCTAGGAGTCCTGGGGTGGTGCTGCAGGGTTATTCTCTGGACTGCAAGGTTGTCTTGAACTTCAAGGTTCAAGCTCACCAGTTGCTCCTCAGAAACCCTGAAAGATCACAGCTGTGAAAATCATTTGGAGCAGTTCTACTCTGCATACATGGGGTTGCCGTGTGTCTGCATCGTTGATGGCAGCCAACAACAACAGCTATGGCAGGGGGATGTCAGGTCATGTTGGTGGGTTGGGGATGGTTGGAACGAGTTGAGGTAAAGCATCCTGGAGGAGGTGACCTGGGATATGTAGTGATTTATGGACAGAATCCAGGCTAGAGTAAGAAATCAGTCCTAGGGATATGCTTCAGGAATGTCTAGAGGCAGATTTCCTAAGTGATGGGTCCTCGGACTCTCATGGGAAGGTGGTGAATGGTACTCTAAGGGTGACACTATTCATGACAACCCTCTGCTACTTGGCCAGGACCTCCTGGGCCCGTGCGAGATCTCCAAGTGACAGACACGTCGCACACCAGTGTCACCCTGAGCTGGGCGCGGCCAGACACCCAGGATGGGGACGAAGCCCTGGGGTATGTGGTGGAGCTGTGTGGCTCAGATAGTCTCCAGTGGAGGCCATGCCACACGGGTACTGTGACAGCCACCACTTACACAGCCAAGGGGCTTCGGCCCCAAGAAAGCTACTTCATGCGGGTGACAGCCATTAATGATGGGGGACGCAGTCAGCCCACTGCCCTGGACACATTAGTGCAAGCCATGCCCATTTCTGGTGAGTACCGCCTCTTTCTTGTATCCTTGAACCCCTCAGACCTTTCCTGAGAGCATCATCCAAGCACGTGCTGAGCCAGGATTCGCCCTCCTCTCCCACCCCCCAGTTTAGTGAAAGTACATTTATTGCGCACCGGGTTGCTAGGAGTCAGAACTGACTGGATGGCACTTAACAACAACTCTGTCCTAGGCACTGGGCTAGGTAGGCCTTTTCAGACATGTTTTCTCATTTACAGTTCATAACAATCCTACAAGTTTAACCTTTTTATATCGACTTTACCAGTAGTGTGTGGCAAAGGCAGGAATTGAGCCAGTGACTCTGACTCCAAAGTTAGTGCTCTCTGCAGGATTCTTTACTGCTAAGAAGGAGGGCCTCAGAAGGCACAAGTGCTACTCTGCTGATTCAGTTCAGGAACAAGGTAGAACAGACCCCGAGTTTCCTGGTATCGAAAGGCACATTATCTTTCCCCTGGGGTTTTGATTGCTGAGGCAGCTGGCCAGTCATTAGTCCAAGCTAACATTGAGCCTTCCACAGACCCTAGTTGTCACTGTGACAATGGTGAGGGTGGTGTTGGTGATGTACTGTGGAATCAGTTCTGACTCACAGTGACCCTGTACAGGGTTTCCAAGGCTGTAAATCTTTACGGGAGCAGAAAGCCTCATCTTTCTCCCGTGGAACAGTTGGTAGTTTCGAACTGCTGAAGTTCGCAGCCTGATTCGTAACCACTTCGCTACCAATCTTCTTACTGTGACAATAAGAGGAACATAATATAGTAAATGGAGTCCTAGTGTGATGCTGTGGGTTAATGCACTGGACTGAAAAGTTGGTTTGATGGGCAAGGTTGGCAGTTCAAGTTCACCAGCTGCTCTGGAAACCTTATACAGGGTTGCTATGGGTCGGAACTGACTCAACAGCACTTAACAACAACAACAACAGTATAGTAAATTCACCGGCCACCCCCTGGAAGCCCTATACAGTGTTGCTATGAGTCAGAACTGACTTGACCTCACTTAACAACAACAAATACAGTAAACAACACCTGGAGCCCAGAGTCCCAGGACCTTACCATAGTTCTGCCCCTAACCCCACCAGTGTGATCTCAGGCAAGTCATTTCTGGCTTCTGGTTTCTTTCTCTGTAAACCCTAGGAGGCAGATGATCTATTCACTGTTTCCTTCTGCTCCCGTCTAAACCTAGCTCTCTCCCAGGTGATTGCCCTTTCTGAACTCCTACCTCTCTCCCACTGGCATCTTCCCACCAGCTCCTGCTGCTTTCTCCCAGGGCTCTCCTCCCCAACTTCCTTCCCAGTTACTCTGGAGCATCTAGTCCCCATCAGGATCTCAACAGCAGTTAAACTGGCCCAGTCTTCCTCTTGGGCTCGTCGACCTTTTTGGTGACCTGAGCTGGGGTCAACTCCAGAGGCGGTGACGAGTTATCTTGTGTGTTCCAGTGTGTCCCAAATTCCTCATGGACTCCAGCACAAAGAACTCGCTGACAGTCAGGACTGGGGACACAGTTCGGGTGCCTGTAACCTTTAAGGTGAGTGCTCCTAGAGGGACGTGAGGAGAGGAGCCCAAAAAAACTAAGGGAGCTGGGATTCAGCCCTGCAGTTCTCCTTCCATCTCCAAACCAATTGTCTTTCCTGTCCTTACAATGGCCTGAACTTCTGATAGACGTTAGACTAGACTTGAGGAGTATACTCCTGGAAGGCAATGCCCTTACTTGGCCACTAGGTGGCCATTCTACTCAGTGTCTAAAGATCCTTTTGGTGACACTGCACCTCTGGACAAGTCTGGAAATTCAAAGAGGGAGCAGGGGTGTGGAGTGTCTGCCCCAGTGGTATCCCTAGTGGCATGGTGTCTTTCTCATGTGGCTGCAAACTGCAAGGTCAGCAGTTCTAATCCACCAGCTGCTTTGCAGGAAAAAGAGGAGGCTTTCTGCTCCCGTAAAGATTTGCAGCCACAGAAATTCTACATAGGGTCGCCATGGGTCCAAATCAACTGGATGGCAGTGGGTGGTCTCTGGTCGCACACTGTAGGATAAGCACTAGAGTGCAAACCACACTCAAGGCAGTTCAAATCTAGCTGTTCTGAGGAAAAATGATGAGGCCATTTGCTCCTGTGTTGGAAACCCTATGGAGCAAGTCTACTCTGTCCTGTAGGGTTGCTGTGAGCTGGAATCAACTCTATGGAAGTGGGTTTATTTGTTTGACTATGGGAGCAAGAAGCCCTGGTGGCATAGTGGGTTAAGCACTGGACTGTTATCCACAAGATTGGTGGTTCAAACACCAGCCACCCTGTGGGACAAAGATAAAGCTGTCTGCTCCTATATGAATTTGCAATCTTGGAAACCCTATCGAGTAGTTCTGTGTCCCATAAGGTCACCATGAGTTGGAATCAACTTGAGGGCTGTGGGTAGTTGTGGCTTTGGTGGTGAGCCCTGGTGGTGCAGTGGTTGAAGCATTCTGGTGCTAAACCAAAGTTCAGCAGTTTGAACCTACCATCTGCTCCATGGGAGAAAGCTGCAGTTGTCTGCTTCTGTAAAGATAAAAACTTGTAAGGCAGTTCTACTCTGTCCTCTGGATGATCTCTATGAGGCACTACAGTCAGGGTTTTTGGCAATGTGGGTGATTCCCTTGGATTCCAAATGTATTTTACACAAGCATATTGCCTGCTTTTGACCCATGGTGATCCTCAACCAACATTACCTGACTCTGTATGTATCATACATACAGTACCATGTGCTGGTCACAAGGACCTGGGTTCAAATTTTGACAGCATCACTAACTGCTTGACTGTGAACAAATATCTTGACCTCTCTGTGTCTCAGATAACATATCTATCAAATGGAGATAACAACAGTTACTATGTCCAAGAACTGTCATGGATGAAAGGAATTAACACACAGCATAAATAGGGCCTGGCATATGGCAAGCATCCAGTCTGTATTACATTTTATTATTAAAATGCTGAGTATCATCATCCACCTCATCACCTGTGAGAAGCTCAGCCCAAGGTGACAGCCACATTCAAACCCAGATCTCTCTAACTCTACATGTGCTTAACCATCCGATCCTAATAAAGGCAATGGTAGTGTAACCTCGGGAGTACTGGTTAGCACACACAGTGTGTACTGTGCCCTGGGGCCTGCTCTTTGTCCTTTTCTTGTATTAGCTCTGTAATTCTCAGGAAAGTCCCATGAGTTGGTGGCATCCCCTCTGAACTCTGAAACCCAGTGTTGAGGGTCACATGACGAGTTGGTAGCATGGTCATAGGGCAGCTGGACTGGCCTCCTTGTTCTGCTCAGGGTCACCTCTGTCCCAGGGCCACCATAATGTCCCTCCTGGAGTATGACAGGGCTCCCTAAGTCATCCTCCATTTGTCCTTGGGCACCAGGTAGTACCTCCCACCCAGCCCAGTCTTACTCCCATCCAACCCCGTGTGAATCCAGGCCTCATCTCTTAGACCAGCAGTTCATTGCTTACAGAATGAAAGCCAGATGCCTATGTGGCTGTAAACTAACCCCCTCTTTCCAGTGTCCTCTCCAGCTCCCTTTCCCCAACCCACTGCCAGCCCTATACCTCATCAGCACCTCTGCCAGACACACCCTCACCTGTGTCTGCTTAGGCTGATTTCTCCTCTAAGCTGCCCCTCCCATCACCTCTCCTTTAGGCCCAACTGAAATGCCTCTGCTTCCATGAGAAGTCCCCTCTCAACCTTTCCTCTCTTTTCCCAGGCTGCCCCCATGCCTGAGGTGACCTGGCTCAAGGATGGATTGCCCTTGCCCAAAAGAAGTGTGACGACTACCAAAGATGGCCTCACCCAGCTTCTAATTCCTGTGGCCAGCTTCACAGACAGCGGCCTCTACACTGTGGTGCTGAGGAACCTGCAGGGGAAGGAGACCACTTATAGCTTCTTCATTAGGGTGGCAGGTAAGGCAGACATGGACCATGGCCCTAGATACTGACTTAGCCATTCATCACAGCATGGAGGTTTCCAACTGGCCTGGTCGCAGCTGTTCTCTGGGTATGCCTGGGACAGCACTGCCAGCCCTTCCTATGTGCATGGCAGTAGAAAGGGCTTCATTGTTCTTTTGTCTCTGGACCTTAAACCAAAAAAAAAAAAAAAAAAAACCCACTGTCACTGAGTACATTCTGATTTATTGTGACTGTAAATGATGGATCCCCTGGTGTGGTGCTTTGAATTAGAATCAGCTCTGGATTTTGAACTAAAGGTTGGCAGTTCATATCCACCTGCTCCTCAGAAATCCTATACAGGGGTGCTATGAGTCAGAACTGACCAGACAGCACTAAACAACAGGACGCAGTAGGATGGCTTTTCATGGTTTCCGAGGCTGTAAATCTTTATGGGAGCAGACAGCTTCATCTTTCTTCCTCTGAATGACTGGTGGGTTTGAATTACTGACCTTGGGGTTAGCAGCCCAATATATATCCATCCCACAGCACCACCAGCACTCCTTGTTGCTATTTTGAAGTGCCATCAAGTTTATTCCATCTCATAGTGACCCTGAATAGGGTTTCCAAGGAGTAGCTTTTGGGTTTGAACCACCAACTTTGTGGTTGGCAGTCTAGTGTTGATCCTACAGCACCACACTAGGACTCCTTGTTGTTGTTGTTGTTGTTATGTGCCATGGAGTCAGTTCTGACTCATAGTGACCCTGTACAGGGTTTCCGAGGCTGTAAATCTTTATGGGAGCAGAAAGCCTCATCTTTCTCCCACGAAACAGCTGGTAGTTTCGAACTGCTGACCTTGTGGTTCGCAGCCCCATTAGTAACCACTACGCTACCAGAGCTCCTTGGGGCAGTTAATTAAGCCACACCCCCCTCACTTGACCTCAGCTGCTCTTCATTTTGATTGAGGAAGCAAAAGCAGTCAGAACCTGTCTGGTTGACCTAATACTGCCATAACACAGATACCGTAAGTGGGTGGGTAGTGTTAAAGAACATATTTATTTCCTCACAGTTCAGGAGGCTAGAAGTCTGAATTGAGTGTGTGGCTCTTGGAGTCGATCTTTCTTTGTCTGTTTCAGCTTCTAGTGGTGGTGGTTGGTGGCTGTGTGCCGTGGAGTTGTTTCCGACTCATAGCGACCCTGTACAGGGTTTCCGAGGCTGTAAATCTTTACGGGAGCAGAAAGCCTCATCTTTCTCCCATGGAACACCTGGTAGTTTCGAACTGCTGACCTTGCAATTTGCAGCCCAATTCATAACCATTATACTTCTAGTAGTTGCCTACAATCCTCACAGATATATCTGTCTCATCATCTGTCTTCCTCTTTGCTCTGTGTCCATTTGACTTTGTTTATAATTCATAAGTGATTAGGTGTAGAATTCACCCTATTCCAGGTCTGATCTGATTAACAAAGAAAAGTCTGATTCTAAACAGGAGCATATCCATAGGTATAGTGGTCAAGATTGTAAGACATATTTTATAGTTGCTGTTAAGTGCTATCGAGTCAGTTCCAACTCATAACAACCTTGTATAGGGTTTCCTAGAGCAACTTGAGCTCTCAGCCTTACAGTTAGCAGTCCAGTGCTTGTCCTACAGTGCCACACCAGGGCTCATACTACTTTTGTTGTTGTTGTTGTTGTTAAGTGCTGTCGAGTTGATTCCGACCCATAGCGACCCTAAATAGGGTTTCCAAGGAGAAACTGGAGAGCTTGAACCACTGATCTTGTGGTTCAAACAACTTTGTAGTCTGACACTTTAGCCCACAGCACCACACCAGGACTCTTCATACATCTTTTGTTGTTGTTGTTAGGTGCCATCGAGTCAGTACCGACCCATGGTGACACAGCAGAATGAAACACTGCCCGATCCTGGGCCAACGTCACTACTGTTGCCACGTTTGAGTCCATCGATGCTGCCACTTGGCCAATCCATCTCGTTGAGGGTCTTCCTCTTTTTTCTGACCCTCCACCTTACCAAACATGATATCCTTCTCCAGCGACTGCTCCCTCCTGACAATATGTCCAAATTATGAGAGACAAAGTTTGGTCATCTTGGCCTCTAAGGAGTACTCTGGCTGCACTGCTTCCAAAATGGATCTATTGGTTCTTTTGGCAGCCCATGGCACTTTCAGTACTCTCCAACACCATAACTCAAAAGCGTCAATTCTTCTACAGTCTTCCTTATTCACTGTCCAGCTTTTGAATGCATATGAGGTTATTGAAAATACCATGGCTTGGGTCAGGCACACCTTAGTCCTCAAGCTGACATCTTTGCTCTTCAACACTTTAAAAAGGTCTTGTGCAGCAGATTTGCCTAATGCAATACGTCGTTTGATTTTTTTAACTGCTGCTTCTGTGAGTGTTGATAGTTGATACAAGAAGAATGAAGTCCTTGACAACGTCAAACTTTTCTCCTTTGGTAAGAATTTTGTTTATTGGTCCAGTGGTGAGGATTTTTGTTTTCTTTACATTGAGATATGATCTTTGATCTTCATCAGTAAATGTTTTAAGTCCTCTTCACTTTCAGCAAGCAAGGTTGTATCATCGGCATACATATCACAGGTTGTTAATGAGTCTTCCTCCAACCCTGATGCCACTTTTTTCTTAATATAACTCAGCTTTTCGGATTATTTGCTCAGCATACAGGTTGAATAAGTATGGTGATAGAATACAACCTTGTTACACACCTTTCTTAATTTTAAACCATTCAGTGTTCCCACATTCTCTTCAAACAATTTCTTGGTCCAGGTACAGATTCGTCATGAGCACAATTAAGTGTTCCAGAATACTCATACTTCACAATGTTGTCCATAGTTTGTCATGATCCACACAATTGAAAGCCTTTGTGTAGTTAATAAAGCACAGGTAAACATCTTTCTAATAGTCTCTGCTTCTAGCCAAGATCCATCGGACATCAGTAATGATATCCCTTGGTCCATAGAACTCTTACAAGTTCTCTGTCAATGTATGATTGTAGCCATTTCTGTATTACCTTTAGCAAAACTTTACTTGCAGAATATCAAAGAAATTGTCTGATAATTTCCACATTCCATTAGGTCACCTCTCTTTGGAATGGGCATAAATATGGATCTCTTCCAATCAATTGGCCAGATAGTTGTCTTCCAAATTGCATCGCATTGATGAGTGTCTCCTGTGCCGTCTCACTTTCTTGAAAGATTTCAATTTTTATTCCATCAATTCCTGGTGCCTTGTTCTTTGCCAATCCCTTCAATGTACCTTGGATTTACTCCTTCATTATCATTGGCTCTTGATCATATGCTACCTCTTGAAATGGTTGAACACTAACCATTTCCTTTTGGTACAGTGACTCGGTGTATTGTTTCCATCTTCTCTTGATGCTTTCTGCATCATTCAATAATTTGCCCAGAGAATCTTTCAATAACAAAAGTCAAGACTTGAGTTTTTTCTTCAGTTCCCCCAGCTTGAGAAATGCTGAGCGTGTTCTTCCTACTTGGTTTTCTGATTCCAGATCTTTGTACACTTTCTTGTAATATTTGGCTTTATCTTCTCCAGCTGATCTTTGAAATTTTCTGTTCAGCTCTTGGACCTCCTCATTTCTTCCATTTGCTTTAGCATATCTACACTGGAGAGCAAGTTTCAGTGTCTCTTCTGACATCCATTTTGAACTTTTCCTTCTTTCTTGTCTTCTCAATGACCTTTTGCTTTCTTCATGTATGATGTTCTTGATGTCATCCCAAACTCTTCTGGTCTTCAGTCTTTGGTGTTTAATGTATCAAATCTGTTCTTCAGATGATCTCTAAATTCAGGTGGGATATATTCAAGGTCATATTTTGGCTATCGTGGACTTGTTTTCATTTGCTTCAGCTTCAGTTTGAATTTGCGTATGAGTAATTGATGGTCTGTTCCACAGTCTGCCCCTGGCCTTGTTTTGACTGATAATATGGAGCTTTTCCATCATCTATTTCTGCAGATGTAGTCAATTTGATTTCTGTGTATTCCACCTGGTGAGGTCCCTGTGTATAGTCATCTCTTATGCTGTCTAATAAACACTCAATATCCCATGTTTTTATTGTTTAAAAACAAAATTAAATTAAAATTATAATTCTTTGATGCTGTTTTCCACCATATAGTAATAACAGTATACCCCTGGTCTAGCTCTCTTTCAACGTAGCTACCAGCAACATAAGACTTCATTTCCTCATGACCCCAGAAGATTTAGGAGACCAGACAGGGCCATAGCAGAAACCCTTGAGGATTTCAGGTGTCCTACTGGGTCATCCCTAATGCGGGCTCCCTCTGCTTCCTCTTCTACAGCATGCCCGAGGGCACCAGGGCCCATCAGCCTGCAGGAAAATGTGCCTGGGACAGTGACCGCTGAGTGGGAGCCCTCCCTGGATGAAGCGGAGGCCAAGGATGTCCCACTGCACTACACAGTGTTTACACGCTCCTCAGCACACGACTCCTGGCGGGAGGTGGCTGATCATGTCCACACCAACCACTTCACTCTCCTGGACGTCCTTCCTGGCCATGAGTACCACTTCCGTGTTGTAGCCAAGAATAAGCTGGGGGCCAGCAAACCCTCGGACACCAGCCAGCCTTGGTACATCCCCCGGCAGCGAGGTGAGTGGCTCCTTCTGCTTCATGCCATGAAAGGAGGAGCAGCCAGGGGCAGGGGCTCCATGGGCTATATATGCTCCTTGTTGCTGCACACTGGACCCAGGGCAGCACCCCAGGGGTGGGGTGTGAGGGGGTACCAATGGTAGAGATGGTAGGGAGTACTTCTGAATGAACAGTTGGACCTAGTCTGTCACTCTTCCCGCTTCATGTCTAATACCCACCTCCAGTGATGTCCTCTGTGCCTCAGACTCAAGGTGGGTCCCAGAGGTGAGTAGGAAGGGCTCTGGGGTGTCTTGGGTGTCTAGGATGCTTTTGAGGGGATTCTCAAAGGCAGTAACAGGCAATAAGAGAAATGGTTGTTTTTTGGGTGCCATCAAGTAATTTTTGACTTATGAAGATGTCATATGACAAAGCATACTATTCTTTACAAGAGCAGATCACCAGATCTTTCTCCCTTGAAGTCACTGGATGGGTTTGAACTACTAACCTTTTAGTTAGCAATTAAGTACTTAACTGTTAGGCCTGCCAAAGCTAACATTTCTTTCAAAATAAAGTGTATTAAAGTCAAATCGATATGGATCTTAAAAACAATCACTGGGGGGGGGGGAAGCAAACACTAGAGAGATTTCTGGCAAGATGGTGGACTAGGCAGACATACTACACAGACTCTCTACACAAAGATAAGAGAGATGAATTAAAACAGAAACAGATGTAAATTCTGGTGCCCTGAACTTCAGAAGAAAGTTTATAGAGGTGATGGAGTGCTTGCTGGGAGGAGAGGCCAAGCAATGAGAGAGAATAGCTCAAGTAAATGACCAAGATGCAGAACCAAGAAACATTTCTGAGGAAGGAGCTAACTGAAAAGGAATTGAAAAGTATGATGATTAATTAGGTCCATTCAAAGAATTGATAGAAAGTTTGAGGAAAGCAAGGAGAATACAATAAAAATAAGAACTCAGGAAAGCACTACAAAAACAAACAGACAAAATCAATGCAAATTTTGAAATAATACAAAACCTGAGATTAGAAGTCTAGAAGAATAATACTAAGATCTCAGAAATGGACAATACATTGAAAGGGCAAAGGAGTAGATGCAAAGCAATGGAAGCCTGAATTAGTGAGCTTGAAGAAAAATCTCTCAATACTAGTATGCTAGAAGAAAAATCAGAAAAAAATCCAATGAAAGTCTAAGCACTATGTGGGACACCATGAAGAGGAACAATTTACAGGTGACTGGAATTCCAGAACAGAAAGAAACAAACACAGAAAAAATTGATGAAGAGTTGTTGGAAGAAAACTTCCCTAGCATCATGAAAGATAAGAAGATAAGCATACAAGAAGCTGAATGAATCTCAAACAGGGTAGATGCCAAAAGAAAATCACTAAGACATATCACAATCAAACTTTCCAGAACCAAAGACAAGAAAGAATCCTGAGAGCAGCTCAAGATAAATGAAGTTACCCACAAAGGAGAACCAATAAGACTTAGTTCTGATTTCTCAACAGAAGAAACATTGCAGGCAAGAAGGCAGTGGGATGACATATAAAAAACTCTTGAAAGAAAACAAAAAGCAACCAAGAATCATACATCCAGAAAAACTGTTCCTCAAATAATGATGGTGACATTAGGATTTTTCCAGATAAACAGAAATTAAAGGAATTTGTAATAACCAGATCAACTTTATAAAAAAATACTACAGGGAGTTCTTTGGACTGAGGACCAATGACAGCAACCTGAGATGACCATACATGACAACACCACCCAGAACTCAGTGCAGATATAGAAGTGTTCAAAGTAAAACAAACCTACAAGACTGAAAATAGGGACCAGAGGTATAAATTTATAACGAAGTCAACTACAAAGCAAAAAGAGCATAGATACAGAACTTCCAAATGGCTAGTAAGTCAAGTAGATTTCAAGATAAAACAGACTATTTTAAGTAGGGGGCGGGAAATAATAAATTACAGGGTAACCTCAAAGAAAAATAAAACACATCAAACTGAAAAAAGAAAGCCAGAAAGATCAAGTAAACATTAACACAACAGAAATGAAAACGTGAAGAAAACCCACAAACAAAATGAATTCCTCATAGAAAATTATGTGAAACAAAGAACTAGCAGCACCACACAAAAGCACACAGAAAAATGACAGCAATCAATTCCTACCTATTTGTAATTACACTGAATGTGAATAGATTAAATGTACCAGTCAAGAGACATAGAGCAGAATGAATAATAAAACATAAAAATTAATATGCTGTCTACAAGAGACATATCAAAAAGATGGAGTTGGCCTAAAAGCCCATCAACAGAAGAATGCCTAACCAAACTTTGGTACATACACATAATGGAATACTACAAAATGGTGAAAAATAATGATAAACTTGTAAGACACCTCATAACATGGTTAAACCTGGAGGACATTAAGCTGAGTGAAATTAGTCAATCACAAAAGGACAAACATTATATGAGACCAATGTTGTAAAAAGTTTTTTTTCAAAGGTTTTATTGATAAACAATCTACTCTGTTTAGGGGGCGTTGGGGGGAAGGGACAATTATTCACAGGCTAGAGGGTAGACACATTTTAACAGGGTGATAGGGCAGGTAATGTACAACAAGGGGGAGGTTAGCAGAGGAAAGATGAAGATAGTGGGAGGCACAGGGAGGAATGCAATAGATAAAGTGAATAGAGGTAAATGCTGTTAACTGGTGGTACATAGAAGGTATTAAATGATGTAATGAAGCACAGTATATGATTTGTTGATAGAACTGATGATCTCTCTAAATCTTCACTTAATTCACAATAAAAGGTAAAAACAACAACAACAAAACATGATCAGACATTTAAGCTGCAACTATTGTTGATGAGAATTGAAGATGCTTAGAATCAATTAATCCAACAGACTAATTGGAACATCATTCTCCACAATTTTGAGACCAGAATAACTAGATGGTACCTGGCTACCACTACCAACTACTCTGAAAGGGATTACATTAGAAGTTCCTGGATAGGATGGGAGACAATGTGACAAAAACAAAAACAAAACCTCTCAAAATCATAAAAACAACCAGGCTTACTGGTCAGAAAGAGACTGGAGGAACCCAAGACTATGGCCCTCAGCCACCCTTCAGGTCTGGATTACCCTCTTGGCCCAATTTCAACCAAGCAGTGGATAGGTCTGTAAGAGTGACAGCAAAACTAGTGAGGGATGCTCCCCATGGAATGGTCAACCATTCGAGATCAAAAGGGCAACATTTACCTGAGGACAAGGAAGGAGGGTGGAGGAAACGGGGTAACTGTTGTTAAGTGGAGGAGAATCTATCCAGTCATCAAGAGGAAACAAATGTTAAAACTGATGATTTGCTCTTGAACTTTTATTCAATTCACAGTAAATGTTTCAAAAATTTTTTTTTAAATAAAATAAAAGCAAACACTAGAAAAATTAGATTATAAAATGAAATGGAAAAACATTTTAATTTGAAAAAAAATCAGAAGCAAATGGCACAAATAAATAAAACAAGATGGAAGATTTCATTCTTGTAAACTACAAAAATGTCTAGGAAGTTCTGTCCCTAAATGTCAATGTTGTTGTTGTTGTTGTTAAGTGCTGTTGAGTCGATTCTGGCGCATAGTGACCCAGTACACAGTTTCCGAGGAGCAGCTGGTGGGTTTGAACCACCAACTATGTGGTTTGCAGTCCGGTGCTGATCCCATAGCGCCACACCAGGAAAATGTCCGTGGTGCTGATCTGTATATAAGGAATGCAATTATGGTTGTTGGGTTTTTTTCTTTATTTCTCCATATGATTTTTCTATATAGTCTCTAATTTGTTTAAATTAATATGAATTAAGTTGTGTGAATATAAAAGATTAATCCGAAATATTTTAAAGTAAGGATGAAAAATGAAACCTAACACTTTCTCCAGGTAGTACCTAAATAGCATTGCCCAGTTCTCCCTCCCCTGAAGCCTGGGCTAGGCCTTCTTCATCTTCTGACCCTCTGATTGTCCCTAACTTTCACCACAGACAGGTTCACAGTGAAAACTCCAAGCCACCGGGAGCCCGACCTGAGCCAGAAGCCTTGGTTCCTGGTGGGCCTGAGAGCGCACCTGCTGCCACAGGGCTGTGAATGTTGCATGAGCTGTGCGGTGCAGGGCTCACCCAGACCTCGAGTCACCTGGTTCAAGAATGACCAGAGTCTGGAAGGAAACCCTACGGTCTATAGCACCAACGTGCTAGGCGTGTGTTCCCTCGTCATCCCCAGCGTGTCCCTGAAGGACAGCGGCCAGTACAAGGCTGTGGCTGAGAACGCTCTAGGCCAAGCCGTCAGCACAGCTACCCTCATCGTCATAGGTAATGGTGGCTGCCCTAGCACTGGTCAAGCTGGCCAGGAGGAGTGAGGAGGGAGAGCCAGAGGAGCAGTAGCCACTGCCTGCCTTCAGGGAGCCCCTTCTAAGGAGACCTACCCCTCCCCCCTTACAGTGATTGGGCTGGGGGTCAGAAGACCAGGGTTCTAGGTGTGGTTCTATATGAACTCTCTGTTGTGTAGCCTGGCCATCACTAGCCCCTTCCTGGCTTCAATATACCCATCTATAAATGAGATGGTTGCATTCCGTTAGTGATGAACAACTCTTGGCTTTAGGGGGAACATACTGCCCCCTAAGCTTCCAAGTACGGCCTTGCCACAAATTTCAAGATTGCTCCATCAGATACATACCCAACTAACATTTGTTGTTGTTAAATGCCATCAAGTCGGTTCTGACTCACAGCTATCCTATATGGGATTTCCGAGGAGCAGCTAGTGGGTTTGAATGGACGACCTCATGGTTCGAAGTCCAGTGCTGATCCACAGTGCCATAACTGAAGTCCACACTAACATTTAGTACCTAACAGTCCATGCTGATTCTCCTACAAGTAACCTCCTTTTCAGAAAAGCAAATAATATATGTTAACAAGAATATGCATATAGTGGTTAAAACATCTTACATTTGAATGACAAGCAAAAAAACTAAAGAACTAATGATTTAAAATCACGCAGAATTGGCCCTTGTGCAAAAGTGCCAAGTGACCAGAATATGTCTGGGTGGCATCTATGCCATGCCATTTAGGAAGTCACTTTCCCGGTGCGGGGGGGGGGCACCTAGCCCCCACACAGTACAGTCACCCCCACTTAGCCAGGAGTGGAGAGGGCACTGCCCCATTCTATCCAACTCATAGCCTGCTGCTTGTATCTTGCAGAACCCAGTTCCTAGCCCTGCATCACCCAGGGAGGACCCTGCCTGGGCCCACAGCCACAGGATGTACTACAGATCCCAAAGCTTCATTCCTGACGCCCATGCAGGCCTGGAGAGTGAATCCCAAGGGCCTGGAAGTGAGTGGATCCTGGAGAGACTCAACCAGGAGGAAGAAAAAAAAGGGGGTGAGGCATGCAGCCTCCTGACCCAGAGCCAAGTCACTAGATGGGATGACGCCAAGCTTGTCCCACATGCTCACCACTTGGCTTAGCTTCCTTTGTCCTCCACTTCATCCTGGAGGCCAAATCCTTGATTTTGTAGACTGAGTCCCTAGAGCAGGGGTGGGGAACTTTTTGGTGCCAAAATTCATAGCATCATTTGTGGGACATCCAAAATTATCAACTTAAAAATTAACCTGCTTAAAAAAAAAAAAAAAATTAACCTGCTGTATTTGGTCAAATATTTAATGAAGTCACCCCTAATGTGATGGCTGAAACTGAAGTTGCCTTGAAAGGGCCAGACCAAATGATTTCTCAGGCCTTATACATCTGGGTGTTCCCACCACTGCCCTAGAGGGAGGAAGAAAGGGACCCTCTGGGTCTGCTGTGGTCACGGTGAGGAGAGTGTGGGGGAGGTCAGAGGGTCTAGGTGAGGAGTAGGGCATGTGTGTGTCAGTGGAGGCGGGGAGGGTGCAGGGGGTGCTTCCTGTACTTTTCTTCATTAAAACATTGGTGACTACAGGCGGAACATTTGTAAATCAACTTGGAGTTGACATGTGGGTGAGTGGGGGACAGATTCCTAATGCAAAGCTTTTGTACCAGGCTGTAGTTGTGATGGGTGGGCTCTGGTCCAGTGGAAGACTTGAGTCAGCACAGGGCTCTTATCAAGGGCAGGAAGGCTGAGAGAGGCTGGAGAGGCCACAGGGTGGGGAATCTTCCCTTACTCCTGGCCTCTATTCCTGGCACTGCTTTGTCTGGTGAAAATCCTGCAAGCTGCTACGTGTGTAGGGAACAAAGGGCCCAGGTTCACCCATGACTCTTATATGCCTACTCTCAAAGGAGAATTCTACTTCAAGCTGTGCTCTCTGGACTCCTTTCAGGTAGGAGTGAGATGTCAAGTGTATGAGAATTTTGACTCACAAAGGCCCTCATAGCCCTTCACCTCTTCCACTCCCTCACTGTCTCTCCCACAGGCCACATGTCTCCTCTCCTGTGAAGAAGATCTGCATCATCCTGAACCCCAGTCACTGCCATGAGCAAGGCTTGCAACCTGAGCCTTTTGGGTTCCCAGGAAATATTCTAAAGTGCTCAGGGCCAGAAAGAGGGAAGGGAGCCCTGAGAATGCCTTAGCTCCATCCTCCCAAGGACATCAGCTTAGGGGTCCAGCAGGTCACAATAACTGGGACACAGCTCTTCAGTGCCCACATGCAGATCCTGGCTTCTGCTTTCTCTGCCTCCCCTGGCACTCAGACTGTAGGCCAGATGCACGGTGGATTGCCCAGTATGCAAGGTGACTTGTGCGTATTTACTAAACTGTGGTGAACAATTCCACATGGGTTTTACCACGTGATATGGGGAAAAACATAAAATTGCTCATTACAGGTTAGTAAGCAAGCACAAGTCAACCTGTCTTACTTTGATTGCTGGGTACTCACATTACAGATTAATAAGCCTTTGCCTTACCTTGCTTATTGGGTACTTTGTGCCAATTTGGTACTCCGTGTCAGGGATTGTAAATTTGACAAGAGGCTTTGATTCTATAGGATGGTGCTGTGTGGTTGGGAGAGAAACAGATGTCAGCCACACCTAGAAGCAGAATCTTTGATATGGTGAAAAAAATGTGAAACTGCTCATTACAGATTAGTAAGCTAGTGCTTACCTTATTGCATTATCTGACACTGGCAGGAGACAAGGTGATTACATCACAGGAGGAGAACTTGAAGGTGGATATCACAAACAGTGACTAGACAGATATTTCTGGATTGGAGAGATAGTTGTCTGCCTAAAATAAATCAAGAGTGTCCCTCAAAGGCTGAGGGATGAACCACATGACCCTGGTCAGAGCAGGCTATGATTCACTCTTGACCCCACCGAGAAAACTTATCAAGGGCCATTTTCCTGGGGATGTCTCCTGCCATCTCTAACATGGGTTTTATATTCTGAAGGTCCATCAGTAGCAGGCAAAATGTCGGCCAAGGGGTCAGAAGGACACTCTCAGAAACTGAGAGGCATGGCTAGAAACCTCAGCCTGTATGGAGCTGTCCTTACAAGTCCCTACCAAGCTGCAGATTCCTGGACGCCTCAGGCCTACCCACTGTGATGTTAGAAATGGGGAGAAGAGGGATTTGCCCAGAGGTTGAGACCCAGTACTTATGGAATGCCTGGTCTTGATCATGCTGCTTGATATAATATGGGCATAGCGTAGTGGTTACAAATTGGGCTGCAAACCTCAAGGTCAGCAATTCGAAACTATCAGCGGTTCCATGGGAGAAAGATGAGGCATTCTGCTCCCATAAAGATTTATAGCCTCGGAAACCCTGTGTAGGGTCACTATAAGTCGGAACCGACTCCACGGCACTCAACAACAACAACAACAAGGAATATGTGGAACTTTCAGGTCTGGTCCCTAAAATCTCCAGAGCAAATATCCATGCTCTCTCCATCTGCCTTCATCTACCAGCTGGATGAAATGAATCCTTTGTAGGACTCTTTCCTAGAATATAGTGGGGCCAGTTGATGACCCTGAATAGTTTCATGTGGAGCAAGGTTTTTTTTCGCTATCCCACATTAGGCCTTGATTAGAAAAACAAGCCTTCACTGTGTTAGGTAAGATCCTTCGGTGGCGTAAACAGTTTGTGCTCAGCTGGTAGCTGAAAGGGTAGTTTGAACCCAATCAGTGGCACCGAGCAAGAAAAGGGTTGGTGATCTGCTTCATGAAAGATTACAACCAAGAAATGTATGGAGCAGTTCTACTCGGTACCACATATGTTGTCAGGAGTAAGAATCTACCTGACAGCACTAGACAACACCACCCCTGAGGTTTGCAGATTCTCTGTTAGAGCAGTTAACCTACTTCACTCACATAGCAACCAACTTTTTTTAAATCAAGGGAAAAGCAGAGAATGTTAAAGGAATTAGAAGACAGCAGTAAAGATGAAATAAATAAATTTAGAATAGACATCATAGGATAAGCAAATTCAATATTTATTTGAAATGACTAATAATATTAACAACTTTAAGGAACAAAGAGATGGAAAAAGTAAACAATATTAAGATAAAAAGAGCAGGCATGATTACCAATTCAACCAAGACAAAGGACTGTTGTTGTTACGTGCCACTGATTCTGACTCTTAACAACTCTGTATGGAGTGGCTGGTGAGCTTGAACTGCCAACCTTGCAGTTCAAACTGGACCAGTGCATTAGCCTACAGCACCACACCAGGACTCCAAGACAAAGGATACTATTACTTAAAAGTGTATGTTAATACATTTGAAAGCTTCAATGAATGGGTAAACTCCTAGAAAAAAATAATTGACCAAAACAGACTCAAGAAGAAATAGAAAACTGGAATAGTCTAGATCATTAAATAAAGTTGGCAATTAAATATTTTCCCACAAGGAAAGTACAGCCCAGAAGACTGACAGATACAGGTTCTTCCACATGTTTGAGGGAAATTTATAATCTTTACAAAAGTCTCCAGAGACTAAAAGAAGAAAAGACAACCCCCAACTTATTAAATGAGGTTAGTTTAACCATGATACCTGAACTACAGGGATAAAATTATAGGCCAAATGAATTTATTAACAATGATGCAAAACCCTTAGCAAAGCTGGATTAGCAAACTGAACCCAAAAAGAAGAGAAAATGTTCACATATCACAACCATGAATGGTTGATACAACAACCATTGGGTTAATACATTTGCTTCTCACTATCAACATGGTTAGGTTCCAAAGACCTGATCATTACGCAAAAATGAGTGTTATTTGAAAATGAAGGATGACCATATCAGATCAGAAAAATGGAGGATGACTCCATCATTATACAACTTACATAAGTGCTAAATTTTGTCATTATACAACTGGCATATTGCATTGCATCATTACATAATTGTCAAACCATTGAGAATCATAGCCCGGCCACGTTGACACCTGACCATCACAGCCAACACTACTCTTGCCTCACACCTTGGTGTTCATTCCTGCCAGACATAAGCTGTTCACACACAGAACAGTTGGATACTAGATTCTTTTACTATTGCAAATGTGAAGTGTCAGATAATGAGAGAATCGATCAGTGAGGAATATGTGTTAGAAACATAGGACTAATGTAATTCATCACAATGATGTTGAAGGATAAAAACCACACAATACTCCCCGCCCCCCATAGATATGAAGCACTATATTTTAAGATATTTATATTGGCCTGTAAATATATGAAAGGATGTGCAATACTATTTGTAACCCTAAAGGTGCAAACTAAAACCACAGCTGTGTACCATTTTGTCTGTGTCAGACTGACAGAAAGGACACTCTGTTGCACATGTTGGTGAGACTCTGAAGCAATGGCAGCTCTCACCCTCTGCTGGTCCGTGTGTAAGCTGGTGAAGCAGTCTGGCATTATTTGATAATGCCCCCTGATTCAGCAGTTCTACTCCTATCAGATACTCTCCTTTAGGCAAGAAACTTAAATAGCTGTTCTTCATAAAAGAATGTTCAAAGAAACTTTGTGGCTATTGGAAAGCAACCCAATACCTCAGCAACATTAGAGTGTTTTGAAAGACATAATGAAATGTAATAAAGGTTTGAAAGGAAGTAAGTACACTCATCACCATAGAATAGTCATTTCTCAAAAACACTTTGAGTGAAAGAAGCAAGTTACATAGGCTATACTCAGGATGATTGCATTTATGTCTTTAAAATTCAGCAAAATTAAACATTATGTTGTTTAGGATGCATACATACATGGTAAGACCAGAAAGACAATAAAATGTCAGGATAACAGTTCCTCCAGAGAAGGGGAGTGTAGGACAGGCTGGGCTGTGACAATGTCACAGGCACATTCTCCAGGACACTTACTTGGGAGTGGGTCCTGTAGCCAATAGGCCAGGCTGGAGTATGGTTTTTAGGATTCCTCCAGTAGCAATCTCTCCCTGATTTCTGTGGGTTGGAGTGCAGGGGAGTATAGCAGGAATCCAATCTCTAAGTGGATAGATAGGAGGTATAGGAGATAGGAAAGTGGGTACAAATAAACATGGGCCAAGTGCTTCCATAAGGAGCTCTGGTAGCATAGTGGTTATGAATGGAGCTACTAACCTCAGGGTCAGCAGTTTGAAACTACCAGCTGCTCCGTAGGAGAAAGATGAGGCTTTTTGCTCCTGGAACCCCTGTACAGGGTTGCTATGAGTCAGAACCGACACCACTGCCACCCCCAAGTGCTTTGATACTAAATAAACATGATTTGTCACATCAGGCCGTGAAAAGAGTTTTTGCATTTTTTGGGAGACTATTGCACCATGTGTGGCACCAAACATAGAAGACACAGTGGTGACAGCCAGTTCCCCATCTTCATGAGGTTCTTAGAAGACTGAGTTCTCTAGCCTAAACTGTGAGGTGCTGAGTCTGGGCTGTGGCCCAAAGAGTAGGGAGTATTCTAGGTGAAGAGATGAGCAAAGGGGATTCCTGGGGAGAAACAGCCCCTGAAGAAGTTCAGAAGCCAGGGAAAGTGCCTTCTAATCACCAAATAGAAGCCGTCTGTGTCTGGAGCCCAACTCTTGGGTGTGTGAGAGCAGAGCTTTGATAGGGAGGCTGAGGGCTGGAAGGAAGACAGCTGGGCCAGGGAGGGTGTTACTGAGTACTTGACTATAGTTGTTGAGAAACCATTTCAAACACCAACCATCAGACATCACCTTTCTTTGAGCACCCCACTGTGGGAGAAAGGAGATGTGTTGCAGACAGCCCAGCTCAACCTGGGGGTGTCCCGCCAACACTGCTCCAGCTCAGGGCTCAGAGAACTCTTGGAGATTGGTCGACTTTCAGGGTTCTCCTTGCTCAAAGTCCCACAGGGAGATTGTTGTTGTTGTTGTTGTTAGGTGCCATTGAGTCTCTACTGGCCCATAGTGACCTTATGCACAGCAGAACGAAACACTGCCTGATCCTGGGCCAGCCTTACTACTTTTGCCATGCTTGAGCCCATTGATGCTGCCACTTGGCCAATCCATCTCATTGGGGGGTCTTCCTCTTTTTCTCTGACCCTCCACGTTACCAAACATGATATCCTTCTCCAGCGACTGGTCCCTCCTGACAATATGTCCGAAGTCTGAGAGATGAAGTTTGGCCATCTTGGCCTCCAAGGAGCACTCTGGCTGCACTTCTTCCACAATGGATCTGTTGGTTCTTTTGGCAGCCCATGGTACTTTCAATATTCTCCTCGGGGAGATAAGTTGGGCTTAAAGCCAAACTTCTTGTTTAGGCTTCTTTCTCCTTTCCTCCTTCCAGGGGTTGCATTTGTCCTTGAGTCCTCCAGAAGCTCCCACACACAGCTGGGGAGCACTGGGTGTCCCAGGGATGCGGTTCAACTCTAGCACTGTCATTTACTAGCCTGTGGCCTTAGGCAAAGTTATATAGAATCCTGGAGCCCAGTTCCTTGTCTGTAAATGGAGATAATAATAGAACCTCCCCCACAGCACTGTTAGGAGGATTCAGTGTTACTCCAAATCAAGGCCCTACTGTTATTTCTAAATCTCTATCACCTCCAGGTGGCCAGCAAGGCCCACCTCTCCTCCACCACTGAGGAGAGATTCAGTGAGCACAGCTGGGTGAGGGGGTGGGAGAGGGAACTGGAGTGATTTATTCCTGAGGTAACCACCAGGTGATGCCACAGGCTTTGCAACGGGACTGGAGAAGACTTTGATGCCCAAGGTGGCGGTCTGGGAAACTAAAAAAGGTTGTTTATGGGATCTGGTGAGAGGTTAGGAAGGTGGGGCCAGGGTAGTGGGCACCAGCAGTCCCTCCCCTCCGCTGTGCCCCTTCCCTGGATCTTTCTGGAGAGCACAGTGCTGGACCCAAGAGTCCTGCACATGGCCCTGGGTCTCCTTTCCCAGCCACTCCCCACACCATCCTCTGTGGTTCTCAACTTGGTCAGACTCTCAGTCTAGGATCTTCTGAAGGCCTGGGATGGGTGGCAGGGCAGGGCAGGGCAGGCAGGGACCTCAATGTCAGAGTGTCCTGAATGGCCTGTGCATGAGGGAGGGACTAGGGGGTGTGTAAGGGCCAGTGGACCCATTCTGGTGCCATCTTCCTTCTTCTGCAGCTCCCAACCAGCCCTCTAGTCCCTTCCCTTCCGGATCTTGGGTGGGACTCGGGCTTCCTCCTCCTCTAGAGGGCTGGACCCCTTGGAGGAGAGCAGTGGAGCAGAGGCCAGACCCTTGGCACATCAGTGCCTTCTCTCTTCTTCCCTGGATCCCAGGCTGGTTTCCCTGAGGGTCAAGGAGGGGAATGGAAGGCATAGCCACAGCAGAGCTCCCTTAAGGTCTGGGCTCTGAGACCCAAAGCTGGGACTGCACCAGCTATGGTGTCACCATCACGGGCTGGTGCCACAATACCATAGAGGAGTGGGCAGGACTGGAGACAGAGGAAACTGAGACCAGGCCTAATTAGGGCCACAGGACAGAAGCTGGCATTGGGCTCCCTGACATAACACCCTCCCTTAAAGACAAAGCAGGACCCTTGCCCACCTCCCTAGGGAGATGAGGAGTTGGAGCTGGGGAAGCTGGCCAGGAGGGAAGAAGAGCACCTAAGGGCGCGGCCTCAGCTGCTGACAGCTCTACGTGTTCCCTGGGACATGGTGTCCTGGGTGAGGTGCTTGGGATGTGGGCCACAGGCTGGGCACAGGCGTAGGGAAGGTGGGGTCCTCCAGGGAGCAGAGACAGGAACTTTTCTTCAGCAATTTGGCCTGTCTGCAGACAGCTGCTGGGGAAAGCTACTCCCAGCTCAGTGATCTTCCACTCCCAAGGCTGTTGCCTATTAGCTCCAGCCTCTCCTTGGAGAGAAGAAGGCTTTCCCTCGCCAGCAGAGCTCCCAGGTCCTGACACTCCACCCCTGATGGTTCTCCATCAAACTCTTCTGCTTGTATGTTGCCTTCATCTCCTCTTCCCCAGCCCCATGCTAACAGTGCACACAGCCAGGGGCCTGTTCTCCAGCCCCAAGGTTTCATGCACATCTTCACAATTCACGACTGGGCTCTCTTCTCACTCGCCCCACCATACATGGGGCTGTGGCCCATCTCAGGCCAACTGTGGGATCATGGTTGAAGGGCATCTCTCAAAACCACAGGGTGGCACACTTGGGGTACCAAGTGCCCACAGTACCCTGCTGTCCTACCTCATCCCTAATGTCAGCCTCAGTCACTAAAGTTGCTCATGCTGTGTGTGTGTTTGACCTGGAGTGTGCATGGGCTGGGCCCACTGGGGGGTGGGAGGGTGGACAGAGGAGGCAGGGACACAGCAGTTGGGGTAGCATGGCCCTGGAGATCCAGCCAAGTCCTCCCTTTATGTCCTGGCTTGCTATTCCCCGTCTCTGAGAGTAAGAAGTAAGGCCTCCAATTTTTCTGAGCTTACTATTTTCAAAACCCTTCCTGAGAGTTTTGTTTTCTTTTAAACCATCAGGGAGTTGGCCCATTTTGGGCTGTGGTGGCAGGCTCACAGGCATTACCAAGAGCAGTACCTGGAGTGGGCGATGGTGCTACCTCAGCTGTCACCCAATGGAATGGCTTTGGCACTCTATCCCATCTCAAGACTCTATGCTGGTCTTGTTAATGCCAGCAGGTCCCGGGTGCAGTGGACAGATGGCAGGGGCCAGTCATGCTACATTACTATAGTTATGAGAGGTTAGGAAGGGCAGAGTGTGAGGATGTTATCACCTTCTGTAAGTGAAAGAGATATGGCTGTTGTTTTCTGGGGGCTACTGTTAACCGATCTACCCCTTCTTCCCCAGGCCTGGTCTCTCTCCAGTGATCCCTCTTATTTCAGTCAGGAAAGACAGTGGCTTCCTCACCAACACTCCAGACCCAAAGTTCAGGCTCTGAACTCCCCTGGAAAAGTGCACCCAGAGCCTATAATGCTCCCTACGGGACTTCCTTACCCTAGGCCGGTGGGCAGAAGGTGGAGGCCTCACACGGCACCAAGCAGGCTACTGTTACCCTCGAAGCCTTGTGTGCCCGCCCTCCATCTGCGTCAGGGAGCTGTCGGTGCTTGCACCTGGCTTCCCAAGCGATGATACATGCTCTCAGCTGCCTCCCCAAAGCCTGGTGGCTGTGCACACCCTGTCATCTGGGATGGTTGCAGGTCCTCGAAAAGGCCTTCCTGAACCCTCTCGACTGCTCCCCCAGCTGGCAATTGGCCTGAGTCCCTGGCCCTCTGGAGATAAGAGACTGGTCAGTAGACTGTAGGAAAGCCCTCTCTTATCACGTGGGGACAAATCTCCCAGCCTCACCCAAAGCACTGAGAATGGGGCTGCGGACGGCGGAAGGACACAGAGTGAGGACACAGAGTGAGTTGGTCTGTGAGGAGACCAGGGTCTGGTTCAATGTGCATACGCAGATGGGTGTGGCTGGCATCAGCTTCTGGGCAGAGACTAGGCTGCTCACACCCAGGGCTCCCTTGGCCCACCACGGGCCACGCCCCTCTCCCCAGCCTACCTTCACGAAGGAGGTGCATACCTGTCTGGCAGCCCCAATTCAGTTTCCCACCCTCTACGTCCGTCTCCCTCTCCCTCTGATGATTTTTTTTAGTCTCGAGTTACGTCATGAATGAAGTAAAATGTACGGACCTTCAATGTACATTTTGATGAGCTTCGATAAATTGCATACAAATCCAGACCCAGCACATTCCTGTCACCCCTCAGAGCCCCTCCCCTGAACAGTCAGTCTCCGTGGGCAGGGTCACCCTTTGCTTCTGTCAGTTTGTGCATGGGAAACCCTCCCTGCTGCCTTGATCAACTTGTCTCCCTGTACCACCACCTTCCTGGTAGGCAGATCTGGGTGCCCAGACTGTGACTGAGCCCATTCCCTGAGGTCTATGCACCTGCCTCTGTGCTCTCCCACAGCTCACTGCTTCCCCTCACCCCTGGCGAGGGCTCTTCCCTGGGTGTAAAGGATCCAGAGAGGCAGGACTCCTTAGGCCAGGGCTGTAGGCAGCTGAGCTTGAGTCTGAACACCGTGGGGTGGGGAGTGTTAACTTGGGAGAAACTGGTTACAATAGCAGCCCCTGGTCCAGGGCTGGAGTCAACCCAGTTGTGTAGCATGAGACTTTGCCTTCTGAACTAGGCTTTCCTTGTCATTCCCTCTTTGATTTAGGGGCATGGATTCCTTGGGTATCCATTTCCCTAATCTATAAAATGAGTAAATTATAAAGTAGTGACTTTTCAGATTGTTGAAGTGTCAAAAATGCTTTTGAAGCAATGATATTTGGAACCCCAGTGTACAAAGCAGGTAAAAGCGAAGCCATCCAGGTAGAACTGGGGATGACGAGCCCAGAACCCCTCCACCAGGAACCATCCCCTCCCAGTAGCACCAGCAAGCTCATGGGTGCCAACATACCCACTTTGAAGTTCCTAGATGAGAGATCTTGCTCCAGAAAGGGGAGTGAGTCCCAGGATCTTCTGGACACCCCAAAACACTCTTCACTATGAGAGGGGATGACAATAGAAGACAGACTCTTCCCTTGTGGGGTTATAAAAAAGAATGGAGAGGGGGTGACCAACTATTATTTACTGTGTAGTCTTTATAACTATGACCTCATTTAATTTTCATGACCATCCCACAAAGTAGGTGTTACTACCCCATTTTACAGATGGGGAAGTATGTGATCGGAGAGCGGTTGGTTACACAACTGCTTGGCGTAGAAACGTCTGCTCCCTCCAGGAATGTGGAACCACAGTGAGGAGTCAGCAGGTCAGTCGATAGAGTCCTGATCTCAATGGGGATCTCTGTTGGAGTGTAGCGTCTGTGTCATGGAAGAGGGGTGGTTCTTGCCCAGAAATTGTTGTCACCAGGGAATTTGATTGTTCAGCTTTCCCTCCTCAGCACAGCAGATGTGAACGTTTAGGAACTTTGTGGCTGAGCAGACCAATTTCCCTTCATGGCCCCTGAGGGTGGCTGAGCCCTGGAGAGAGACACAGCCTCAGATGGACAGGAGATACCAGGAGTGACAGGTGGGAAGCAGAAGACTCGATTTCAGAGCCCAGCTGTGCAAAGAACAAGAAAAGCCAGAAAGTGGGAAGCTGTTCAGGCCTTCAGTCGTCCCCTCCCCCAGGGATTCTGGGTTTTCAAGTCTCTGGCTTTTTCCAGAGTAGTTTGAAGCCTCCTGAGAACCAATAAAGCCTGCTCCCCTCAAGAATGGAAACTCTGGGAGGACAGAGACTGATTTCTACCACTTACCACCTCTTCCCAGCAGTCCTGGTGTGGTCCCGTGGGTTAATGCGCAGGACTGCAAAGTCAGTATGAACCAGATAGTTGGCGGTTCAGACTCACCAGTCGCTCCTCGGAAACTCTGTTCAGGGTCGTTATGGGTTGGACTTAACTCGATGACACTTAACAACAACACCCCTCCCCAGGGCCTGTCACTGACTACCACAGAAATTCAGAGCTAGAGTACCTGTGCTCAAGCTCATCCTAGGGCCAGAGATCCAAAGGGATCTTTTTTCTTCTCTTTCCTCCCCTTCTCCTCCCCTAGTACAGGACCTGCTGAGAACAGAATTGGCAAAAATGGGTTTCAGTTCAGCCCAGATGGGCAAGTAGGGCCAGAGGAGCTGAGGTAGGAGGCATATATATGAAGGACAGACTGGGAATGAGAGGGTGGGGGCTGGGAAAGATGCCAGCAGGGCCTCCTGCATAGAACCTGTGGAGGTAAGTAGGAGTTGCTCATGGTTTATGAATGAATGAATGTTTTATTGTGTTTCCTTGTTCTTCTTTCTCTCCTCATTTGATATTCTTGGTTTCTATGTCTTGAATATCATTGTAGTCCAATACAGTACCCACTAGCAACATGTGGTACTGTAGGGTAAGCACTGGTCTGCTAACCACAAAAACGGTAGTTCAAATCCACCAACAGCTCCTTGGAAGCCCTATAAAGGTTTCCTATAATTCGGAACCCACTTGAGGGCACTTAACAACAACAGCCACATATGGTATGGAGAACAGATTTCAAACCCTTCATACGAGACCATAAAATATCTCAATACTTTTTATATGTCACATGCTAAAATATTTTGGATATATAGCCAAACAGAATGCCATTGACTCAGTTCTGACTTACAGCAATCCCATAGGACAGAATAGAACTGATTCCTAGGGTTTTCAAGGCTGTAAATCTTCATAGAAGCAGACAGCCTCATCTTTCTCCTAAGAGGGACTGGTGGGTTCAAACTGCCAACCCTTTGATTAGCAGGCCAATGTTCAGTCCACTGTGCCACCAGGGCTATTGTTTGGATATATAGGGCTCAGAAATATAGTCTCAATTTTAATTTCACCTGTTTCTTTTTACTTTTTAATGCTGTTTTTTAAAAGTTGTTGTTGTTAGGTGTTGTCAAGCTGGTTCCAACTCGTTGCTGCTGCCACTGTGCTGATCCATCTCCTTGGAGGGCTTCCTCTTTTTCGCTGACCCTAGTTGTTATGAATCGGGCTGCTAATCTCATAGTCAGCGGTTTGAAGCTACCAGCTGTTCTGCGGGAAAAAGATGAGGGTTTCTGCTCCTGTAAAGATGTACAGCCTCGGAAACACTGTACAGGGTCGCTATGAGTAGGAACCGACTCGACGGCACTTAACAACAACCACCACTTAACCAAGCATGATATCCT